CCCTAAACCCCAAACCCCCCAAGCCCTAAATTTAGAGCCCAAGCCCTTGAAGCAGGTGTCGCTCCCCAATCCGTGTAACAGTCGAAACCCCACTCCCAAGCACGTGATGCAGGCGAAGTCCAAAGAGGCCACACTCAGATTCAAGGAGCTCCAGGCAGGCCTGTCAGAGATTGGCAGTAGTACCTATAGTGATACTATTTGCTATCATTAATTGATTCTCCTGGCAGGGTTGGTGGTCGTCGTCGTGGCGGTGGTAGTAGCAGTCGAAGTAGCTGGAGCAGTAGCAAACACTTCTGGTCACAGTCGTAACCGTAGGCGCCGAGGCAGCAGTAGCACTACCTCGACTGAACACACCTAGTCTTCATGAGCCTTCGCTTAGCAACTCATCCTCTTCTTTTTTTGGGTGTGGGCTTTGGGAACCATCCCTTCATCAAATTTAGGGTTTCGTGTGCTTCCGGCCTTGGGCGACACATTCAGACAGCGCACAGAGGAGGGGAGCCTCCTCGCATGGCTCTGATACTCGACCTTTGAGTTTCTTATCGACAGGGGTCACTTCACTTCCCTGTTCCACTTGTCTCGGCGACAACCCCCTAGGCCCTAAACTTCGAAAGCCAAGCCCTAAACTCCAATCCAAGCCCTCTAGGCCCTAAACTCCGAACTTTAAACCCAACGCCAGGTGCTCTCCAAGGAGAACGCGGCCGCCTGGCAGGCAATTGACCGATGCAAGATTGAGGATGTAAGGGTAATAGGGTTTTGGAATATTCGTGTAGGGGCTTTGGGTTTAGGTTCCAGGATTTAGCGTCCAGGGTTTAGGGTGCACGTTCTGCCAAATGCCATGAAACACAAGCTGGCTGTGAACACAAGCCACGAACGGCCTCCGAATGGCAAAGCCGGGTGTACAAGACGCATCTTCCATGAAACCGGCCATAAAAGTCTTCCTTTGCTATGGGAAACCGCAAACCCAAAATCACAAAGCGCTACATCCAAGCCGTTACACCCTCATCCCCACACCTTGTGGCCTCAGCCCAGAATCCGCGAGAAGCTTAGAGAAGGCAGCGGGGAATCTAAGGAGTTCTGCACGGAGAGCGTTGCGGCGTCGACCGTCAAAGTGTGCCATTCCGAGGACATGGCTAGGCCGGAACTTAGCTGCAAGAGAGTGGTGCTGCCTTAGGTGATGAAGCATACACACATGGACCTGACTAATTTCTGGTCCGCCCCGCATGGTTGAAGCCGCGCTTCAATCAGCTTCATTGCGTGATCCGTTTGGCATTCTCGGCTCCGGATTGTCACGAACACATGAGCGAGTCATGGCTTAAAAAAATCAGGTTTTAGGACCTCCTACACCCAGAAGTCTTAGATCTGCAAGCCAATGTCGTCTTGAGCGTCACACAGTCCTTAGATCTAGATGCATGTAAATTATGGAAAGTACTGTGAATTCGTGAGGGGAACTTACACCTATAGCAACTTTCCAAGACTCGAAAATCGGCTGAGTTCTGATCCAAACCTGAACCCGAAATCCTGGAAAAGTGCTTCAAAGGGCATCCCAATTTCGAACAAGCAACATGGTTGCTCGCTATCCCAGCCGAAGCGGAACATGGCAGACAGACTTGAACTAAACGGACAGTCACAATACCGTAGCAGCCCGGAAAGCGAGTCCATGGAAACTCTTTGTGCTGGCTGCCTTGCTGGGCTTTTGTCTGGTGCATTGGGAGCCGCGGCATACCGAGACAGGCGCGGCCACGGGGCAGCAATTGTCAAGCCCGAGAGCCGGAGAGGGTAACAGCACAAAGGGTTTAGGGTTTAGGGTTTAGGGTTTAGGGTTTAGGGTTTAGGGTTTAGGTCGCAGGAAGAAGAGCCAGGATGCTCCCGAGTTCCCGATTTGAAGCGCCCACTTTGCAAGAACAAGAAGCAGTCAACTCATCAGGACTCCAGAGTCAGGAGAATCCCTGGCGTCAAGTACGAGACGACCTCTGCCTGACTGATCTTCGCGAGACTCCTTTTAGGTTTTGGACCTCCAAGCCTATGTTAGCCATGTGGCCAAGATTGGAGAAAACACCACGCGAAAGTTTTGGGTGAAGTCCGGTGGAACACTAAGCCGCAAGACTCTTTACAACGCCGAAACATCAACCTGAAACCCATAGCTTTCGAAGCCCTGCCTAAACCCGAAACCGCAACCCCACCTCCCAAAATCTCTACCATTTGAGGTTACGTCCTTCCGGCGGTCGGCCGCACGAAGCGCCATTCTCACCTGGTGAAAGGCACCGGGCGCAACCGTCCTTCACCGAGGGTTGTAAAAGGCTTCCGGGTTCGAGCCAGAGTCTTGCATGGTCTCCAATGTTGCTAGTATACTGTTCTCACGGAGGCATGGGCAAACCAGCGGCTGCGCGTTTAGGGCTTGGGGTGTAAAGGCTTCTGCATATCCTGGCATGGGCGTTTAGATCTATGTGAAGCCAAATTGACGTCAAGAGGTAATTCCCGCATTCGGATTGTGTAGTTGACGGCTGAGGGTTTCAGCATGGAGCCCCTGATCAATACACCCCTCTCACTTTACAAAGGTTGTGATAGGGATCCACGATTAAAGGGTGATAGGGATCCAAGATTAGAGGGTGATAGGGACCCAGGATTAGAGGGGTCTTTAAAGAAAGAGCCAGCCCTTTTTGAGGCATCCGTTCTTTCACAACCATAGCCCTTTCTCAAGGGGTGCTGGGGTTGCATGTGATGCATTATGGCTGTTGTGCGTGGAGGCAAACAAGTTCACCTAAACGGCTACCCAACGCAGAGCATGTCTCATGTGACAGCTCTTCTAGTTCAACCTCCATGTAACTCTGAGACATTCCTCGACTCTGAAAGGTGCTTGCAAGCGCGAATTGTAGAGTCCATGCGAGGACACGATGGCCTGCCGCCCTTGGCGCTGGACATCCTCGTGGCGGCTCCCCCAAAGAGGCATTCGGGTCGCCTCGACACGGTTCTTTACGTGATGGAATCACGATGGCAGCTGAATAGCGCGGTGTAGCCCTAGTCGTGGTAGTGATGGCGGCAGCAGGAGCAGCAGCAGTCGTCACAGTAGCTGGTGTAGCTGCTGTTGCTGTTTCTGTTCCTCTTCCCGCTGCCGCTGCTGCTGCTGCTGTTGTAGTTGTTGTCGTCGTGTTCATCGCCGTCGTTGTTGTTGTTGTTGTTGTTG